TTTAAGGAAACAATATTTGCTTTTTATTTTAGTGTGTGCTTGTAACAATAATTAAGCCATTGTTTCAGCTATAAAATGGCCAACAATCAAAGGACTATCAACTTTGCCTTGCTTGGCTACCTAATTCTTTTTGTTTTACAGTTAAGGAAAACTTGCCTTGGTGTTTTCAACATATATATATATATATATATATATATATATATGTGTATATATGTATATATACACACACACACTAATGCAGGTATAATACATATATTATTACATATATATCTTTCCATATTAAAATGTGTGTAATACTGTATTTTCAATGACCTAGAGTGCAATAGGACTCTGAGTTCATTCTTCAGCAAAGTAAATAATGTTTGAATTATACAGGGTAAACCTCCAAACTTGTGTGTTCTATTGTATTATACATAATATACTATATATATATATATATATATATGTACACACTATAGTACTATATATACTATATATAGCACAATACATGTATACTATAGTTCTATATATACCATACACAGTGCTATTTATGTTTATAGTATTTTATGTGGTATTTATATATAGTACTCTCTCTCTCTATATATATACACCATATATACATATATATATTTCAGTATTATGTAAATAGTTCTTACAACAATTTACTCAACTAGAGGTTAGGTGTATGAGTTATGTGCTCCTGTGCAATAATTAATGGAATAATTTAGTATTTTGCAGGTCATTGGAGCAGAGAACATTTAAATGCATGCAAGCCTCCATAGAATTTCAGTTTCTCTAGGTGAAGAAGGCTAGGATCACAGAATCCTAATCATGTAGTTATATTTTCAAAGCAAATCCAGCAAAAGATTAATTTTACTCAGTTGTAATTTTATTTGTTTGCTTATAATAATGCCATAGTGATTTTTAAATGGATTAGATAGACATTACTCCTATCAGGAGGAGCAGAGCAATGATTCTGGGAAATGGTAATCAGGGCTCCTCGAACAAAGGATATCTGATCAGATTAGCTGGGGCTAGCTAGACTGTATGCTACAGTTCCCATTTGGTGATTCAAAATATTTATTGACATATTAAAATATCCAGAAGGGCTTCAGTAAAAAAAGTATCGAACTTTGCTTGCCTTTAACAAACTAACTTAATTGTGCAAGGAAAGTCTATTTTTCTTGGCACACTGATAGATGCTGCATTACAAGGAAAGCTACGTTTTTCTTTGACACCAGTTTGAGAAGCACTGCATTAGGTAATTTAGACTATGCTTAATGCTGCTAAAATTTTTAACTCAAAATGAACCTAATGCTAAATTGAATACATTGGTTTAGTTTCACAGCTGTCTCCAAAAATCTTTGACAATGATCTGGCCTTCCTGTTGTATGTGAATTTTCCTAAATGTGTCATGAGGTGACACCTTCATGCCCTGCTATGTGCTTTTCTCTGTCTTTTAGAATGTCCTTACAGTTAACTTACACAAAGCCTGTATGCCTTAGCTCAAGTGGGACTGCTGAAATAGTTCCCTGACCTCCTCTAAATGTCCAGAACTGTGTTATTTTACCCTGCTTTGAGTGATCACTTAAGCCTGCCCCTGATTCGGGAATGCTGATAGAAGATACAGCATGTCTGGATAGAGACAGAGGACTCCTTTCCTCCCTGCATAGCAAGTGGCATGCAGTGCCTGCCTGTGTCAGTTCCCTTTGTCTCTCAAGAAGTCCCATGGGGCCACATAGAGGGCCCTGGATGTTTTATTTGTTTATTTTTATTTTAATTTTTAAAATTTTACTTCAAGTTACAGGATACATGTGCTGAACATGCAGGTTTGTTACATAGGTATACATGTGCCATGATGGTTTGCTGCACCTATCAACCTGTCATCTAGGTTTTAAGCCCCACATGCATTAGGTGTTTGTCCTAATGCTGTCCCTCCCCTACCCCCCAGCCACCAACAAGCCCTGGTGTGTGATGTTCCCCTCCCCGTGTTCATGTGTTCTTATTGTTCAGCTGCCACTTAGAAGTGAGAACATGTGGTGTTTGGTTTTCTGTTCCTGTGTTAGTTTGCTGAGGATGATGGCTTCCTGCCTCATCCATGTCCCTGTAAAGGATGTGAACTCATTTGAGGCCCTGGATGTCACAGGTGTATTTGAGGAACTCTCAGCTTAGGAACCCTAATATTTGGTAATAAATGGGCTGCAAACAAAGCTACCTAAGTTTTGTGTAGGAGGGAGACATTGTCTCTTTTTTTGAGACAGTTTTGCAAGTGTCACCCAGGCTGGAGTGAAGTGGTGGAATCTCAGCTCACTGCAACCTCTGCCTCCCGAGTTCAAGTGATTCTCCTGCCTCAGCCTCCCAAGTAGCTGGGATTATAGGTACCAACCACCACACATAGCTAATTTTTGTATTTTTTTTTTTTAATAGAGATGGGATTTCACCATGTTGGCCAGGCTGATCTGGAACTTCTGACCTCAGGTGATCCACTGCCTCAGCCTCCCAGAGTGCTGGGATTACTAGCATGAGCCACTGCGCCCTTCCTGGAGACATTATATTTATTGTACTGTATAACATTCTTCCCTCTGCTCCAGAAGAAGACACTGTTTCTATTTTTCAACTGTTCATGTACATTTTTGAAAAGAGAAAAAAGGCTGTCCATGCCTCTGCTCAGAAGACGCACAAAAATAAGAAAGTCCCATGGAGAATTGTCTCTAAAGACTAAAATCCGAGTCACCAACTTGTGCTGTTCCTTGAAGTACCCCACCACCAGTACAGTCCCACAATTTTGGTCCTTCCTGAATGGCTCTAAATGCTGCTTTTCCGGTGGGGATGTGCTTTTCTTTCTGCTTTTTATTGCAGCCAGCTGAATACCAGACAGAGTAGGCAGAGCTGGCAAAGTTGATGAGATACAAGGTAGTGTCTTTACATGTTTTCTGGAGCAGTCCTCAAGCGCATTGCCCCAGTTACCTTAGGAGAAAGGAGAGCGGAATGGAATAAGCAGGCTTTCACTAAAAGGCTTAAATGGCTTTATTGATTCAGGGAGGAAACCTTCCTTTCTTACAGAAGCACTAGCATTACACCAGTGTTGTTGGAGGCAGCAGGACTCCGTGGCTTGTGACTGGTAAGGCCGGGAGAGACCATGCTAGCCGGAGGGCTGGCAGTCACACAGGAATGTTGAGGAAGGAGATGACAACCAACCGTCGCATCAGGGACAAAGCAGGGGCTGGCAGGCAGCCGCAACACCACGCAGCAGATGGGAGGACTGTAGACCATGCAGCATCTGTTTGGGAGTTTTCTTGTCACAAAAATGGGAAAAGGAAGAGGAAACAGCATGTGGGAAGAAACAGAGATGGATTATACATTCGGGGAACCCAAGTCAATCAATCAATAAATAATATGTAAGTGAATGAATGCACAAATGCATAAATGCACATTTTGCAGGAAGAGTTGGGGTGTGGGAGAGGGGGTGGATTGGAGGATAAGATTAGGCAAGAAACTAGCTGGACTATAGGTAGTGAGGGGCTCCTAACTTAGGTGCTTCTCAAAGGGCAGTTCTCAGTTCAGCAGCTGTTTGCCAAGGGTCCATGAAGAGATGAGTGGAGAAATTGGGACTGCTGTATCTTTAGAAACTTTTGCTTTGATTCAACAGACTTTTTTTTTTTTTTTTTTAGATAGATCTTGCTCTGTCACCTAGGCTCAAGTGCCGTGGCATAATCTCGACTCACTGTAACCTCTACCTCCTGGGTTCAAGCAATTCTCCTGCCTCAGCCTCCTGAGTAGCGGGGATTACAGGCGTGTGCCATCATGCTTAGCTAATTTTTGTGTTTTTAGTAGGACAGGGTTTCACCACATTGGCCAGGTTGGTCTTGAACTCCTGACCTCAAGTGATCTGTCCGCTTTGGCTTCCCAAAGTGCTGGGATTACAGGCGTGAGTCACCACGCCCCATCAGCAATTTGACAAACTCTTTATTCCCTATGACATGTGACAATTAAAATTTGGGGCTTGTATTTTGTACATGTTTGGGTTTTGTTGTATTAAATTTTTCCAATAAATAATTTTTACTCTTTTACATAAGTATGTTCTGTTATAGAAACCTGATTAGGAAACAAACTGATCTTCAGTCCAAATAGTCTGAGAAGATAGCAATAGATAAGGGATTTCAGAAGGTAAGTGGTATCCTGGGCTTGTTCACTTGCACTGGTTTCCCTGGTGCCTGGGTGTAGGATGGATTGGAATAGGTGAAACCAGGCACTGGATTTAAGTTAGAAGACGATGAATGGCACTCACACCCAAGAGAGATGGTGAGAGCCTTAATTGAGGTAGCAGCAAGCAGAGATGGAGAGAGAAGGAAGGACTCAGGGGGCAACAGTAATAGCTAACTCTATCAAAGCACAGGGTAGGTAGCTGGCCCAGCCTAAGCTCTTCCTGTAACTGATATTATCACTCCCATTTTACAGATGAAGAAACCGAAACAGAGAGACTAAGTCACTCGTCCAATGTCAATCACTGAGTCAGCGGTGGTAATGAAACTTGCAGCCAGATATTTCTATCAGTAAGACTCCGTGGTGAATTATTTAAGTGAAGCAGACAAGAACAGTGTCAAGGAGGACTCTCAGGGTCATGTCCTGATGCCCCTGGTTGTTGGTGCTGACGGGACAGACATGGAAGATGGAGGAAGAATTATAGCTTTGGCAAGAGACCCAAAAGGTGACCAATTCATCCCTGATACTTAATCGTTGTTGAGTAAAATTGCAGAAATGCAATTAACCGGTTTTGATTTTGCGACTTTTAAAAAGTCAAAAGATATATAGAGGACTGTAATTTGACAGGCACTTTGTTAAGTGCTGCAGTGCAATTTTTCACCGTAACCCATTAGGTGGGCAGATTGAATACAAACGGGCAAAGGAAAAGGAAAATGTGAAAATCACCCAGTGTTAACATCAGCCTGGATGAATGAAAGCATGTCAATAAAGAAATTGGATAAGGGGAGTAGGTTTCTAGGTAATGGGTGGAGAATACAAAAAAATTATCGAATGCCTACTGTGTGTTAAGGGTTGAGAGTACACTATCTTGTTTGATCCCTGTGATACTGCTATCAAATATTTATTATTATTTTTCTTGAAAATAGAAGGAAGCCATTCTCAGAGTAGCTTAAACCAAAATCTCACAATAAGTAGAATTCAAACTCAGAGCTGATTGGAAGCCTCGTTCTATTTATTACAGTGTGTTGGCTATAGTGTGATGAATTTCATACAAGTGAAATTTGAAATTCGGGTAGGGCACCATGAAGAAATGTCTGGAAGACAGTTTAAGAAGGATGAGAGTCAGAAATATAGATTTGGGAATGTGGTGGCTTGATTGCTATAACGACCCTGCTATTGATGTAGTTTGATGGGGCCTTCCTGCATTGATCCAGGGCTTGTCCGTATGGCTTGCTTTGCAGTGGGACAGCAGCACATGTGAGGAGAGCAGAGGCTTGCAATGTCGAAGATGTGCATTGATTTTACTACCTGTGTGCTTTCAGAACCTTGTGCAGCTAGGGGAACAAACCCAGCCTAGGTGGGTAGGTGATAATGGATACACAGCCTAGTTGCCTTTGTGGTCTCAGCTGACAGCCAGGCAACCCCCAGAAGCAAGGGTTCCCGGTGGGACTGGCAACTCCCTGCAAACGCATGAGTAAGCCCAGCCCAGCCTACCAGAAGAATTGCACAGTTGATCCCATTCAATTTTTCTGACCCATAGAATTCTGAGCTAAATAGATGGTTATTACTTTAAGCCACCAGGTTTTGGGGTGGTTTGTTATGAAGCAATAAGTCATTGATGCAGAAAGCCATTGTATGAATGGAGTAGTTGCAGGCTTTGCAGATTTGAGAGTGAATGAAGTCACCAAATAAGACAAGTATTGAGATTTGAATGATTTATTTTATTGATTTCTTTTATATAATTTTATTTATTTTTAAAACAATCACCAACTCAGAAAAGTTGCAAGGACAGTACAGAGAACCATTCCTTCTTCTTCCTTTCCTCCTTTCCCTCCTCCTCCTCCACTTCTTTTTTCTTTCTGAATCATTTAATGCCCATCATTTCCAAATACAACCATCAGAGTTGAGAAATTAACATTGATGCCGTACTAACATCTGATATTCAGGTCCCACTCAAGCTCACCTGTTGGCCCAGTAACACCTGCTAGAGAAAAAATGATCCAATTCAAAATTATATCTTGCTTTCAGTTGTCTTGTCTCTATGTTCTCCTTCATTCTGGGATCATTTTATAACCTTGAAGAGACTTACTAAATCAGTAGCAGCATTTTGAATAGTAATATCCAAAACAAGTGCCAACAATATTTCCTAGGCTCTAAAGAAGAGCTACACCACAGTCTCACTGTTTATCAAAAGGAATTCAAATATTGCACAGAGCCCAGTTACAGGGAAAAATGATTTTAGGTTTATTATCTGCATGCCACCCCTGTCTATTCTCCAACGAGCTATAGACATATAGCTCGTTGAAAGGTCATCTTACATTCCCTCCAGTGACCCCAGAGAGATCCCATCTTTGATCTGGGATTTTCCATTTCTCCCTACACCCTCGGTACAGGCAGATGGAAAAGAACACTGGTGTGTCAGTGATGAGTAGAAAGCTCAGCTATTTTGCCAGGTGGTTTTAGAAAACAAAAAAATCTTCAGATTTCAGGAAATGGTGAGTTTTTTTTTGGTAAGTACTCCTTGAAGTAAATAGTTTCCAGAAATGGAGGTGGGAGAATGGCATTGATCAGGGAAGTGGGAAGTATTTTTCCCTTTAAATTTTTGGGGCAGTTATCCCCTCTGGCTTTTGTCCCATGTCCTGCCTGAATGGCTGTTGCCTTATTGACCCTGCTGGTGTAATCTGGCTGTATTTTCAGGTACCTCATTAAACATTTTTGGGCTGCTGACATCCCCTGTCAATATGTAACAAGCCTTTTATTACTGAATGTTTTAGAGGACTGTCTCATCATCTGATCAAGGAACAAGTGCAAGGATAGGAAGAATGTGCTCGGAATAAGATGGTTTACATGAGTCTTTGTGCTTCTTCAGGAATCATCAGCTGATTTCAGCAGGCCCTGTGGACCTTATCACCTGGAGGGAGCTCTGTGTGCTAAAAAGGAATGAATAGAGTGAGTATAAGAGTGTGTGTGTGTGCGTGTGTGTGTGTGTGTGTGTGTGTGAGAGAGAGAGAGAGAGAGAGGTTTGTTTGTTGGTTTGTATTTTACCAATAGCGTTTAATGATGGCACTTTACCATACTCGTTATGTTCTTACGATCACTCCAAATTTATTGTCATTTTCACTTCTTTGTTCCCCTTCTCTCAGTTTAAATTTTAAAAAGTGAGAGAATTTGAGATAGTTAATTTACAGGTAATGTCTACATCTTGAAACATAGCCCACTCTTTGTATATTTAATTGTTACGTTTCAGTAATTCCATTTAGGAATTTTTGAGGCAAAGGTAGAAATTCACTGTGTGTTTAGTCACAGGCTAAATACACAGTCTTCAGTCTTCTTCAACATCTTCTAACTGCAGTCACTTTCCGCTAATGGTAACTCTCAGAAAACCAATAACCTCCTCAAAAAAATGGTTAATGATATTTGATTCTCCTCTGGGGCCCTTAGATTCTGCTGAGTTTCTTCTCAGGTCTGGGGAAATATGCTCAGCAATGAAGTCAAGGCAGAGTATCCTGCTGCTGATGGACTCACTCTATCTCTGCCCGGGGAGGATGGCCAGGGTGGTGGTTCTTTCCAGAATCCATCGGAGAGTCAAGTTTTAATCTATTCCTATCAATCTAGGATGTGACCAAAGGCAGGATGTCTGGGTCAAGAAAGCCCAGTGAATAACAAAATCCAGCTTGCAATTGTTTGAGGATGCCAAACATAGTCAAGGCTGAGTTTGTGGGGAGATTGCCACCTTTTGTGTTAAAATTGGGTGTGGGACTGGGTATATTAAAGCCAGCTGAAGAGACAGTGCAGAAATTCTTTCTCAACTTCACAGGTAAGATGCCTCCCTCCACCATCTAACAAAAAAGGGCAATAACTGAACAAAAAAAGAGCTGCGTCAAGGCCCGGTGCAGTGGTTCATTCCTGTAATCCCAGCACAATGGGAGGCTGAGGTGGGTGGATCACCTGAGGTCGGGGGTTCGAGACCAGCCTGACCAAAATGGAGAAACCTTGTCTCTGCTAAAAATACAAAATTAGCCCAGCGTGGTGGTGCATGCCTGTAATCCCAGCTACTTGGGAGGCTGAGTCAGGAGAATTGCTTGAACCCAGGAGGCGAAGATTGTGGTGAGCCGAGATCGCGCCATTGCACTCCAGCCTGGACAGCAAGAGTGAGACTCCTTCTCCAAAAAACAAACAAACAAACAACAACAACAACAATAAAGAACTGTGTCTTTCTAAATGGTTTTGAGAATAAATAAGACATAATTTACTCATGACCTTTCCCTGTTTCTAACTGTTGTAGAGCAATATTTCTCAGGCTTTAATGTGTACCAATCTACCTGGGGATCTGGTTAAACTGCAGATTTTTACCCCAATAAATCTGAGAGGAGGCTCAAGGTCCTGCATTTCTAATAAGCTCCTGGGTGACGTCGATGCCATGAACTGCACTTGAAGTAGGAGCAGCTACTGTAGGCATCTTCCAAGGGTGATCCCTGGACCGGAAGCATCACATTAGCATCATAGATAATTTTCTAACATAAAAGAAACTTGTTAGAAAGGCAAATTTCTGGGTCCCAGCCCAGGACCATTATAACAGGTGGAATGGCTCCTCAAAGATGTTCACTCCTGAATCCCTAGATTCTGTGACTATATCACATGCAACAGGAACTTGGCAGAAAATTAAAGTTTCTAAACTTTTAAGACAGAAGGACTATTCCTGACTATTCCATGGGCCCAATCTAATGACAGTAAATCCTTAAAAGTGGATAGCTTTCCCTGGCTGGTGTCAGAGAGGTGCAGCAGAAGTGTCAAGAAAATTCAAAGTGTGAGTGGAACTGTGCTTGCTGGATGGGCCACAGAGAGAGCATGAGAAAATACAGACGGCTTCCAGCCTCCAGCCGTTGACCAGCAGCCAGCAAAAACAGGTCATATAACTGCAAGGAACTGAATTCAGGCAACGACCTGAATGACCTTGTAAGCAGGTCCCTCTCCAGGGCCTTCAGAATGGAACACAGGCCTGGCTGGATGTAGTGGCTCACGCCTGTAATCTAGCACTTTGTGAGGCTGAGGTGGGAAGATTGCTTGAAGCCATGAGTTTGAGACCAGCCCGGGCACATGGCAAAACCCATCTCTATAAAAAATACAAAAATTAGCTGGGCTTCAGGGTGCACACCTGTAGTCCCAGCTACTAGGGAGGTTGAGATGGGAGGACTGCTGGAGCCCAGAAGTTCAAGGTTTCAGTGAGCTATGATTGTGTTGCCGTACTCCAGCCTGGACAACAGAGTGAGGAGGTCTTGTCTCTATTAAAGAATAATAATAAGAATAGAGCACAAGACCAGGTGCGGTGGTTCACACTTGTAATCCCAGCATTTTGTGAGGCTGAGATGCGAGGATTACTTGAATCCAGGATTTCAAGACCAGCATGAGCTACATGGTGAAACCTTGCTTCTACAAAAAAATACAAAAATTAGTGTGACATGGTGACATGCACCTGTATTCGCAGCTACTTGGCAGGCTGAAGTGTGAGGATCGCTGGACCCTAGGGGGTTAAGACTGCAGTGGGCTGTGATGGTGCCACTGCACTCCAGCTGGGGCAACAGAGTGAGACCCTGTCTCAAAAAAAAAAAAAAAAAAAATGCAACCCAGACCTGCTGACATCTGAATTTCTTCCTTGTGAGACTCTGTGTAGAGCATCCAGATGAGTTGTGCTGTACCTGAACTTCTGACCTACAGATCTGGGAGATAACACATTTATGTGTTTTTAAGCCACTAACTTTATGGTAATTAGTTGCATCAGCAATAGGAAACTAATATTCTGCCTGATGAGAAACTCGGAGTGCAGGGCTCAGCAATCTGTTTTAATAAGCTCCGCAGGTCATTCCCATGCATTCTGTAGAAACATCATGCTCTGCAGTCCAACATCAATGAGGTGCCGCCGCTTAATAGCTGTTGTTTTTGTAACACTGGCCAATCTTCCTAACATCCTTAATCTTGGGTCTTTTTCATGTATAAAATTGGATTAATAAAACAAAGGGTTAGCAACGAATCTTCAGTCAGAATCTCTGGTAGAAAATTTTAACAGTTCTTATTACAGCAGGCCCTCCAATGTTACCTTCTTTTCTTCCTTCCAAACTTCCTCTTCATGGACACACTAAATACTAACAATGTTGATGATTTTGATGTCAGTTTTCTGAGGATTAGGGCTTGCAACTTGACCTTAATGCTCATTGTGTAAATATGAGCTGGAAAGGAAAACAGGTCTAATTTATAAGTAATTGCCCTGCTCAGCTTAATTGCTACTCTTCAAAGAGAGAACAATGAGTATGTTGTCCTTTGCTTTTAGAAAAACATTCAGCGCTATTCAAATCTGGGTATAGAACATTTGACCTTTTAATCATAGCAAGAGTGTAAGCTGGTTCTTTACAGTGGGACCACAACAGCTAAGATATATTTATATTCTGCACATTCTTAAGAGTGCAATGTACTAATTCTAATTTGCTTGTTTACCGGAGTGCTCTAATAAACATTAATTCTGAAAATTTCAAGTACATTGTTTTTTCATTTATGTCCATCTCTGAGCTAAAAATATTTACTTATTCTCTCTTCTTTAACCACTCTGCAGGGTGCACTGCTTCCTCAGATTATGTATTCTTCTCCTCCATGATCTGTACAGCCTTTCCTTTCTGACCATCAATCACTGTGGGATGAAACTGGTTGATCAGGCTTATTTTGCAAATGATGCAGTTTGCAAAGTCCCAGGTTCATAGTCATTTTCTATTGCTGTCTAGACCATGCTAAAGCTCTCAATCAATCAACACTTCCAGATTAATTTTTCCCTCTGAGAAATTAAAAAAAAAAGAAATTAAGAGTTAAACTAGGCTTCCTGGCTTATGTATTTATGAATCAATCAACCTTCCACATAATACTAAATTAATGCTTATGGTACAGTATCTGCATACCGATTTCTGTGTCTGCCAGTTCTAAACTAGTGTGGCACTGAAGGAAGATTCTATCTGCTGTGAACATTTTTATAATGAGCTGCAGCTCTAGAAACATTGAAACCCATTTAAAAAGTGACCTGAATAATCTCTCAGAGAAAATTAAATGGGTGAAAGATCATGAATAAGAAGTAAATATATATTTAAATAGCATCAGGATGGCATCTATTCTTTACCATGCACGCCTTGCTTTTACTAGCGTAAAACTGTATCTAGGTAATTCAGAAAGGAATTGTTCGGGATGCGGGGGGTGTTCTACGACTTACAGATGCTCTTTATCCAAATATACATATAGTGCGAACCTCCCAAGTCCAGCTCACATTTCTTCTTAGAATGTGTACTAAATGTTCTTGGAGTCCGGAGAACTATACTACATATTTTTTATGTCTAACAAGGTTTGCTTTTCTACAACAATAGAGTATAGAATAGAGGTTAGTCACCTAGAGTGTGGTCCTGGGAATCTCCCAGATTCCATCGCTTCTGAGCCAGAATCTGCTTTTAAAATCCCAGGCAATTTATATGTTCATTAAAGTGGGAGAATCGCTGGAGAGAAAAACTGCCTGGGAGGTGGGGATGTGGGAACTGTGGGGGATGTGAAGAATAGAGGTGGCGAGAGACCATATTGAATAGAAATGTGCTTCTTGCCTGCTCACCATCAAGTTGAGAAGGGTTGAGGAAGCATTGCTTGCTCTTCCTTCCTTTGTATCCTGGTGTTTGGTAGAATGCACGTGTTAAAAGGCTGAGTAGACTTGAGGGCATAGTTTATGTTTACGCACTGACAGTCTGTATGGCTTGCATTCTCCAATACAGTGTCTTCCAATTTTTACTGTGACCTTGAATGAGAGGCAATGTAGGGTAGTGGAAAACCCAAGGATTTTAACTCTAACTCTGATAATGTGTCAACAGTTCATATATAAAAGAGGCAAAATAGCCATGCCCATCACAAATGGATTACGTGAGATAATGCTTAGGAAGCTCAAACTTCGGTGACCAGAGCAATGTAGTTATCTACAAAGTATGTCTTTGCTTTTTCTTTCCTTCTGATTATTCACTGGTCCATCCATCTGCCCCTGACATACCTATTGCCATTTAGATATAAATATAGTGCATCTATCTATCTATCTATCTATTATCTATCTATCTGTCTATCTATCTATTTGTGTATCCATTCTCACACTACTATGAGGAAATACCTGAGGTTGGGTAATTTATAAAGAAAATAAGTTTAATTGAGATATAAATATAGAATATACATCTATCTGTCATCTATCTATCTATCTATCTATCTATCTATCTATCTATCTATCCGTTCTCACACTGCTATGAACAAATACCTGAGACTGGGTAATTTATAAGGAAAAGAAAAGAAGTTTAATTGGCTCAAGGTTCTGTAGGTTGTGCGGGAAGCATGACAGCATCTGCTTCTGGGGAGGCCTCACGAAACTTACAATCATGGTGGAAGGCAAAGGGGAAGCAGGCCATTCTTACACGACAGGGGCAGGAGGAAGTGGGGCAGTGAGATTCCACACACTTTTAAACAACTAGATCTCATGACAACTCACTATCACAAGAACAGCACTCAGGGGAAATCTGCCTCCATTGTCCAATCACCTTCCACCAGGCCCTACCTCCAACCCTGGAGCTTACAATTCGACATAAGATTTGGATGGGGACACAGATCCAAATCATATCAATCAGTCAGTCAGTCCATCTATCCATCCATCCATCTATCCATCAACCCATCCATCCATCCATGTACTTACCTACCTACTACTTACCCACCTACCTACCAACCTACCTACCTGCCTACCTACCTACCTACCTACCTACTTACCAACTTACCAACTTATCTGCCTACCTACCTACCTACCTATCTACCTACCTA